AAGGTAATTTATTTTTCCAAATATCAATATTCAATAATTATAATATCAACTTTTAGCTTACATCAAATGCTCCGACGGAAGCATCGAGACTATTGTTAAGAAATTATCGAATGCTTTGCAAACTTTGTCGTTCTGTTCGAAGAGCGACGTAAATTTGGATGCTCCAATCGGTTGTACAATCTTGACCGTTTCAAATAAATGCGAGGTGCATTTATTGCTCAAAGGCTTAATCGACCCAGAAAAGGAAATTGCTAAAATGGAAAGGAAGCTAGATATGCTGAAGGGAACAGAGGAAAAGTTGAAGCAAGCTATGGGAGTAGCAGATTATACAACTAAAGTTCCACAAGAGGTACAGGAATCGAATACCGAAAAACTATCCCAGACCATCGCCGAAATCCAACGGTTAGAGGTCGCGATGGAATCATTGAAACTGATGAATTAAAGGCACGCATATTTCTGTTTATTAGCAAATTGCATTTTTAATCAATAATAATTAATTTATGCTAAATAAATATCCTGTTTTATTACATAGTAAATTGTGCACAGAACAAAAATAAAAAATCAATACAAGTTGTTTTATCACAGCTAAAACTATAAAATATGTTTTGTTTTCAATTACGTTTGTTATCTTTCAAGTCTTTCAATTTCTTTGCGATTTTTTTCTTTCATCCTCTTTATAAATATATATACAAATTACTTACATATATATATATCTCAATCTCTAGCTTTTATTTACAATATGCCATAAAAATCTAACTGAAATTAATGAAAGAAAATAAAAATCTAGTTAATGATAAATGATTATTAAATAGAATAATAAATAATTTAAAGAGTTACGTTTTACCATCTTTTTTTGTTTTATATTTTTAATAACTACTTTTTCATTCAAACGTCGCCCACTCTCCTTGGGGGTTTGCCTTTTGTGTGGTATTTCCAAATGAGTCGAACATATTAAAATCTATTCCATATTCTTCCAGGAGGTCCTTATCTTTGCTATTGTATTTAGGCCGTTCTGTGGGAGTGCCGTTCTGCTTGATGTTGTGGTTCTCATAGTTGTACAGTGGATTGGACACGCTTAAAGGAGCGTGGCCGTCTTCGAGTGATTTACTGAGCAAATCGCTGCTATTCAAATAGGACGAGCTAGACAGCGAGCTGTTCGACTTTAGTGGATCAAACTCGTAAATATCCGAGGAGGAGTCTAAACGTATGAGATCTTGTGACTCGTCACTCTTCTAAAAGTAAAGACATTTTTACATTGCAGACATGACGCTAGAGGCGCATTATATGAAAACGATTGAAAGAAGCATGCAGGACCTTTTAAAGATAAAACAAACACCATTACCTTTTTGCTAGGTGAATTTGATGGTGGTGACAATCTAACAACATCGATAGTATGCTGATTTGCAATAAGGAAAACGGGCTGTCCATTTTCTCTGCCGCCCCCAACCACGAATGGCGCTGTGCCAAATAGATCGTGCGTTCTCGGCGGTACAGGTGGGGAAGAGAAGACGTCGTCAGGTGATTGCAATAGGTTTTGGGTATCGGGAGCTCTAGATTTGAACAGGTGTGACTGGGGAGAGGCCATGGGGGCGCCTGTTCGTGATGGGAATATCCAGCGGTCGGGGCTGGATGTCGGGGAGGAATGTTTGAAATTCTCTAAGCTGCGCACGGGCTTTAACTGCAAACGAGTGCCACATTTTGGTTACGAAAAAACAAAACAAATACGAATACACAAAGCAAAGATGAAAATCTGCATATTATTAGTAGTGAGTGCAGTAGGAAAAACAAAACGTCTATCGTCAAAGTTAAGATGGTTGTTATAGACTAGACTCACCGATCTATCCACGGGAGGGGTGTCTAATCTGAGCTGCAGAAGATCCTGCATCTCGTTCATTAAATCTATCTGTGGGATCATCAGAGGTGGCGATCCACTTCTTGATCGATCCGGCGACATCGGCTGCGAACTGAGAGGGCTATATTGCCTGAAATTAGTATTATTTACAGTCAGTATAGGGGAAAGTTTTCTTTATTACCTTTCAAAGGCCATTTTCTTAGTTATTTGGGGTTCCTTTCTGTAGCTGGCTACTGGGTTACCGAATCCCATCGATCTCCTTTTACCAGTAGGCGAGTTCGGTGCCGATCGTGGCTTGTCCAATCCTTCCAGTCCGTTTCGCAGCTGCTGCGGACTCTGATTATCCTTTAGCTTCATCTTTAACTCCTTGTACGCACTCCTCATCCCTTTACCACCATCTTTTACCTAGAAACAATATGACAAATGAAAATTTTAAACACATTTCCAACTAGGCCATATCGAAAGGAAGCGAAACTTACAGTTTTAACAGCAGATTTCATGGCGGGATTAGCCTATAACAATATGAGCACTTAAATCAAACCAACACATTTAAATTGATCAAAAACTACCTTATCTTTTACACTCTTGAAGAAAGCTGAACCTTCTTTCTTCATAGATGAAGTCCACTCCTTGTACTGCTGCTTCAGTTTGGAGCTGGACTTATCAGAGTATCGGCATGCTTCTATTTCAAATTCGTCGGAAAATCCTAAGCCGTTGTTGAGCATGTCCAATCGCTCCTCAATGAACTGAAATAATAAAATTTCATTATCAGATTTTAACGGTAAATATTTTATTTAAAATTAATTGTCATTCACAATTTTAAGAATATTATTAAAACGGAAAAAAAAAGTTATAATAATCAAAAATTCAATGATTCAATTAAAGAATAAATTGCATAAAAATATTTTTTTTAAGATTTATAAAATCATTTTTGGAATGTCACCGACAAAGATCGAAATGAGAGAATGAGTAACTCCTACAATGTAATTTTAAAATGCTAGCGGGTACCATTTTTAAAGCTTCAAATGGAACTTTTGGTCAAATATTCCATTATCTAAAAAAAACATAAAAAGTTTGGAAATCGCCTGCCGTTCACACATAAAATATATCACCTAACTCCCGTGTTTCTGTCATATGCCCTCCTAGTCTACATGTTCTTGCTTCTATCAACTATTAATCTCATTGTTGTCTGGTTAATTAAAAACTCATTTTCTTTAAACGAAATTAATGATTTTTTAGATAAAGACATCGATGGAAGTAAAAGGAAAATTGGATGAATTCAAATGATTTATAGAAGACAAAACAAAATGTAATTGTTTTTTTCTAAAACAAATACAATTAAGTTTACCTGTTGGAAGATTTGTAAATTTAACATCTCTCGAAGGAAGGGTTGCGAAGAGAGCGGGCGCGTTTCGATGAACCGATCAGCGCCGAAAGTAACTTTTTCACCAGGTTGGAACTGCAAGGCGTCTCGATAACCGCCTATCAGCTGAACGAGGGCTCTGAGGAAGGCCCTGGAAACGCCGTCGCCCAACAAGGAACTCTTATTTTTCAATTGCTTTTTTAGAGACGTCACCTGCAATAGACATACAAATTTGTATACGTGTATTCCATTTGCACAAAAAAATACTTACCACATCGGTCGGCAAATTATTAAGATCATCGAAGGGGGTTTCTATTTTGTTTGTGTCTGCATCGAGAATGACGACGTCACCGATCTCACAGCGATTCACTTTCTACGAAGGAGACAACACGCAAAAGAAAATCAGTTTAAGGATAAAAAGAAAGAATGGAATGGAGAGAGCACACTTGACATCCTCTAAACTGATTTACATCAATTGAATAAAGTGCCTGCATGACATTCTAGTTCCACGCGTCTGGTATTATACCATTCGTGTATTACCTTTAATACTTCATCTGGAACTCCGATGAGAAAGGGCATAGGGGCGAGCAGATAGTCCATTAATGCCATCGGAAGCACCGGGATGAAGATGTGCTGCCAGATCATCGGATAGATCACATCGTTTGCAGATTGTACACAGGCGCTCAATCTTGTCAGTTTCTTGGAAGTGAAGATAATCCGACGCTCGTACAGCATCGACGCAAATATAATGATCATGTTGTTTGTATCGATTGCATTGTAATATTCCGTTAAATTCCTCTAAAATAAAAACATGTATACATGTATTAGTAATTCTTAAATTATGTTATTTTTCATGGTCACTTACATTTTCTGGAATACTTGGTAATTGAAATTGTTTGGGACATTCCACGTTGAATATCTATAAAGAAAAAGCATTGATTTTTTTTATATGAATATGATTTAATTTTTATTTGTTTATATGCCGTGACTATTATATTAAAATTCATTTTTAAAATACTATTCGTCGATATTAATTTTAAATTGTTAATTTTCGTGCAAATTGAAAAAAAGTTAAATGCGCTTCACATATCAGTAGGTAAAATTTAAAACGAATTTTCGCTTGAAAAAATTGTAATAATTTAGAAAAATATACGAACATTCATAGAGATTATGATATAAATAGTTTTAATTACAAATTATGTATTCACGGGATGAAACCCTTAGGATCAACAATTATTTAATAACACTCGCATGTCTCCGAATAAAAAGTCAAAGAATAAAAATAAGCATAGATATGAAAAGCAAAATCATTAAAAAGCGAGACAAAGTTATACTTTTCTTTCCGGCATGAAACGTATTATCGTATTTTACATTAGTTTATATGAGGAAAATTGTTTCACTATACGAGTAAAAATTCGGAAATTCTGGAACGGATTAAACTCGTTAAGCGAGGTTCCACTGTATTAGTTTTATCTCAGTTCATCATTGCTGAATATTTGATTGATCATATTTGAATTTATTTTTGCCTGTTATCAATAAAGTTATGATCGAACCTTTTCTTGTCAAAAAATATGATGATAAAATTGATTCAAATTATTAATTTGCGTTTGTACACATGTCTCTTCGTTCGAACCAAACAATTTATTGTCGGTTTACAGTGTCAATTTCTGACATAATCAAACTTCATTAGTACATTTGTGCGTTATTTCGATCACACTGCCATAAATAATCATGTTGAAATGTAGATTATGAAACTTGATTTAAAACGCACAAAACATAGATAAAAACAAGTTTAGGCGGTAAAAAAAGGAAGAAAAAATAAAAACAAACATACGATAAAACAAAAGTTTCAATGTTCTAATCTCATCGCAGCAACAACTGGTTTGTATCTCTCTTTTATATCGCACATGAAGCCCCCAACTGTTCATTATCTTTGCACACCGACGATCCCAAATGCGGTTCAAGGATTCATCAGACTGCATACAAACATTAACCAGAAGCAAAAAAATAGAAATGGAGGAGTTTACACGGAACAATTCAATTATTTCTTATTATTCAATTACTCTCTACATGCCAATTTCTATACGCAAATCATCTTCACTTAACTTATTAACGCTGTTAATTCGCGTGAACTTTTTTTTTCTCAGATACTTTGCATATTTTCTAAACACGGTCACGAGAATCCACATGATAAATTATACGGTAATAATAAGTAGTTAGAGATGAAAATTTACTTTAAAATTTGCAAATATAGCATAAATTAATATATACTTATACCAAACTTTTCATACAAGTTAAGCTTTAAAATATAGGCATTAATATTTAGGTAATTTATTATTAAATATGATTTGAAAGTTTCACTTTTGAACGTAAAAATAATAAATAATGCATGAAAATATTTATGGGAATTATTTAATTTTTATTTATTAAAGTATTTTTATTGGACATTGGTGGGTCCATTGTGTTAATATCAAGCGCTTGTCAGATCTATAAGTCACGTTCAACTGAGTTACATTGCATTGTGTTTTGCATTTATTAAATTTTAAGTGGGAAGATCTATGGTCGAGAGAATACAACAACCACTTAATAATTTAACTTGTCTGAAGACCGGCTGTGAATCTTGAATTCTGATAGTGACAGTTCTCATCTCAAAATGTTATAAAAATGAAACGATAATTTAACAAATCAATTATATATTAGTATTTTAGAATAACGAAGTTAAGTCTCAAAACAAACCGTTCATTGAAATTATAAGAATTGATGACACTAAAGTTCTTTTCCAAACATGGAATGATGTATAATTTTATTTATTTACAAAAATTATAACTAATAGAAAATTGCATGTTTATTTATTAAAATAACGCTTCAAATAAATATGTTCTACAAAGTTTAGTATAATTTGCAATATAATTTTAAACTTTGTGCATTTATTTTCATAGAGAACAACACATAAAGATTGAAAATTAGGTTAAAACGTGCCGAGTAAAATATTATTTGTCGAAACCTTCGTGACATCATATCTATTTATTTTTCAATTGTTAAATATTTATATTATAGAAGCAAACATTACTGTTAACCGAATGACGTTATAAGATATTATATACGCTGTATCAGATTTTCAAAGTACTTATATAAACAACATCAGAAATATATCTCTGATATATGTACATTTAATATGCAAAATTGAATTAAGAATAAAACGCGTAATTATGTTTCAATACAACAACGAACAATTGTATACAACTCATAAAAGGACACGAAGGAGTAATTAACACGGATCAATTAAATAGAAAACAAAAGTAATAATATAAAGATGCAACAATTTCCAGAAAATAGATCGAATTATTAACGTCAATACATCTTAGAGTCACAATAAACAACTTTATTTTAACGTTTCTTTGGATAAGATATTAATAATTATAAGCAAATATAATAAAAGACCATGTTCAATATAAACAAAGAAAACAAACATATTAATACATACACCTACAATTTTTACCCTAAACGCAATATAAATGTATTCATTAATCTTATATGTTTCTTATATTAATTGTTTCACGTTATCCATGTAAAGTTGGATGTTTCCGCGTTAATATTATAGTTTTTTCATAACAGACAATTGCATAAAATTTTCAAAATATCCAAAATTATTTCGATTTAAACCTTTGAACGGCCAGAAATTACAAAATCATCAATTGAATCAACATCGGATAGTATGGATTCAACATAAACATTTTCTACTTCTTATCAAATTCATCCGACAGAACAACCATTACCTATATTTATTGGTTGTTATGTATATAATAATATACATAACAACCAATAAACAGTAGTACGTATGCTGAACCAACTTTATTATATAAGACCTATATTATAAGTTGTAATGATGGACACGTGATGAATGATCTATATAAGATTAGGCGGTATAACAGTTCCTGTCTGCGCATTAGCAGCCTCAAAACTAAGTTTATTTTAAATGTAAAATACTTACACTTTCGCCGTTATTAAAATGCACGATGAAATTTTTGCCGGGATCGGCAATCCTCTGCCCGTAAACAGCCTGAAGAAAGTCCCTAAGATCGTTGGCCCGGGGACTGTGCATAAGCACTGATATGCTATCCAGGAATCTGCAATTAAACAAAGAAACAATAACATAAATAATTAATTAAAATTCTCGAGGAGCGACGCGAATTTGGCGGCGTGGCAATTTAGAAAGTATTTCAGTAAGTCATCATCATCGACTTTTCTCGGAATAAAGATTAAATAATGGAGTAAATATCGCAAGTAATAATACTAAGTACAGTACAATTTGCAAATATCATATAAGAGTCAAAATAGAATTTTTATTTTAAGATTGGCCGTTTCTAATTGCGGATTCTCTGTGAAAAGAATGTGACTGCATCTGCAAGTGCGTCCCTCACATTTTTTTGTGTGTGCACAAACAATAAACGACGTTGAATTTAAAAAGCGTACTCGAAAAAAAAATTCTTTAATTTTAATTTAATTATCATAATTGTTGAAGCGGTAAATAGCTATCAATTATGTTTTTTCTCATGTTATATTAGTGTAATTTTCAATGAATTCTATACGAATACGTAACTAAGAGTAATTATTGTGTTCTAATGGCTTAATAAAATGCATTGACAAAGTGTATAATGTGACATAGAATTTGGCAAAGTAGGTTTAAGACGTTGATTATATTTTGTTCAACGACAATTTGTCGACCACGTTATTTAAATTTATTCTCCAGAATAGTCAGTGGCACCGGTAGTCAACAAGTCAATCGTGAACAGTAGGAAAGAAACACTGCTTCTTTAATATCTATTTTTTACTTCTTTATCGATTTTTAAGAAATATTATTGAGTATATCAACAAGTCTAATTAGCTTTTATTGATTTCCAATATTGCTTATTATGTATTCCCTAGGAAAATGTCTATTGAAATTGAAATGT